TTGTTGAATGAGATCTACAGGTGGCTAGCAGTGATGAGTTATCCTAAGAAAAATCATGCCAGGCTGAAGAGGCCTTCAAGGTTTTGGGGATATTGTCAGTAATTGTAGACAGAGGAATATGAATGGAATTTAACCATGGAGAATGAGCTGAGTTGGTCAGTGAATGAATTTATCTCGGCTACAAGATGACCTCAAGGAGGCAACAAATCCTATGATATACAGCTAATACCTAGGAGGTGTAGGAGATTGGAGGTAGATCAGGAGCCTAAGAGTTCTAGACACTGTGAGTGTAACAGATTACATCCTGCTGAGGAAGGAGACTTGGGCTGAACCAAGCATGTCAGGCTTCAAGATCAGCACTGGTGGATGGAAAGATTATGACATCAGAGTGGGCTGAATTCCAGCATGTGGGCATCTCCTGGATACCCATGGGGTTCCACATCATAGCTCAGTTGGTTCTTGGGTACCCGGTGCTGGTGGTTGGCAGAGGCCCATCCAGGGTCCCCTCATGATGACTTACAGGGTTTCTTGAGCTGGATCTTTCAGGTATTCCCAGCCAGATGTCCAGTGGGAACTTCTATGCAGCTACTCATTGTGGCTCCAGAGCCACTGCAATTCAGAAGCCCAACAGCACAGAACTCCGGAGAAGCCAGACAGAAACAGCAGAAGAAAGTGAGATAGCCCTTTTACAGTTGATACACCCTTCTCTTCCTCAGATCAATGCCAGGGGTCAAGAGACTGTGGACAGCATAGGGGGAGTTTGATTGCTCTATTTTTAAAGGGGAATTTTAAAAGTTGTACATCCAGTACTCATGAGAAGCCCCTGAACTTCTCTCTGTTGTACACAGCACCCAGGACCTTACCTTGTCTTCTGACAATACCCAAGAGTCAGGAGGTGGCCTCTGCAAAGCCACTGGGAGGGCCTGGACCTACTCTGTCAATATGTCCCTAAGGTGTGGGAACTGCAGTTTCCCCTGGATCTGTATGCCTTTGTCTTACCATTTGCACTCAGAGCAGATGACACATATCCCTTTAAATTGATCAGATCTTACTTCTTAACCCACTATGGGGGTCTTTCCTCTTTACCCTAACATACTAGCTAAAGGAGAGTAAGAAAGCATGGTGCCCTGATTTTGGAGATACGGAATTCAGAGTGGAAACTGGATTTTTCCGCTGCTTCTCACCTTAGGTGAATCAGCCACTGTTGAAGTGCTCCCTTTTCTTTGATACCTTCCTGCAGGAGGCTCTGAATGCAGGTCCTGCACAAAGTGCATGCTTCTAGATCACACATGGGGCCTCCATTCCTGTGTTTTTTTCCTGTGTTCTACTTGATTTAGCCTAGCAGGGTTTATCTGATTGGTTGTCTTTCCTTCCTCTCTCTTTTTGTATTAAAATAGAAACTCTCAAGAGTTTCGATACACCCTCTTTCATTTTTTCCTTTCCTTAGAGCTCCAAGCATGATAACAGAGCATTTTGGTCACTGGATTATGAAGTGCTGTGTTTTCAGAGAGCATCTGTTTCTGATGCTAGGATTTCACCAAACAGCCCAGTAAATCCCAGTGTCCTAGTGCACAGGCGACTGTGGGCATAAGTTAAATAGATAACAACAGAATAATTGTTTTGTGTGTTAGGCAAGGCATTTTAGAATGGTTGCTGAAAAATATTATGGAACTGGATATGGTCAATATTTTCAGTAAAGAACCAACCAGTAAATATTCTCAGTGATAGCAGCCATATTGTACATAGGCAGACAAGTGTGGCTGAATTCCTTAAACCCATTTATAAAAATAGACAGCAGGGAGATTTGGTCCACTGATATGGTTTGTCACTACATTGCCCATCATATCCTGACCACAAGCTCATTAAAATAACATTTATTTATTTACTTGTTATGAGGCCTAAATTATACCCCTCATTAAAATTATGAGCAAAACAAGGAAAGCCACTATCATTTCTGTAATTTACTGTTCACTGTTCTAGAGGTACAAATTGTTTCACTTGAATAAAAGAAAGAACTGCAAAGAATTCAACTGGAAAATTATCAAAAGAGACAGAAATTCAGGATGAACATTATGTATAAAATTAGCACAAGAGATCATCCTTCTTTTTTTTTTTTTTTTTTCCCGAGACAGGGTTTCTCTGTGTAGCTTTGGAGCCTATCCTGGCACTTGCTCTGGAGACCAGGCTGGCCTCAAACTCACAGAGATCCACCTGCCTCTGCCTCCTGAGTGCTGAGATTAAAGGCGTGCGCCACCAATGCCTGACTGAAAGAGAGTCATCTTTCTAAATGTGAATAGTAATCTTTTAGAAGATAGAGCAGAAAAGCACCATTTAGAGCATAACTAATAATAATTAGTAATAAATGGAACATTTATGATCAATAGAAAAATATTTTTATAGTCTAAAGACATAAAAAAATGCTTGAGTAAAATAGAAAAAGCATCTTGTTTGTACATAGGGTGGCTTATTATGAGAAAGATTAAAAATAATCCATGAATTCTATTCAGTCACTCAGGAATGGAAGACATTTAAATTTAATCATTTTAGATATAAATATGTTTATTTAGTTCCAAATTAAAAACTATTCTAGCTAAAGAACTATAGGCAACTAAAGAATATTGAATGTATGTTCTTATGGAGGCCCAAAGTTGATATAAGGTCTCTTTCTTCATAGCTCTCCACTAAGCATTCTCCCCAGCTTAATCCTCAATTTGTTTGAGTAACCTCCATATGAATTTGTGCATTATCGCTACTTATATACATTTCTACCACTGATTAAGGGTTCCTTGCCCCCCTGTATTCTTGCTAGTAATTTCTGTTGTTTTCTCGCCAGTGTCACTGGGATGAGATGGCAATGTAGTCTTGCTTACATTTTCCTAATGACTAAAGATGTTGATCATTTTTATGTATTCATTACCAATTTGTACTTCCTTGGGCTAACTGATCTGAGGCTGATGAAACCCATAGAAACAGCTGACCTGAACATCCGGGAGCTTTTGCTCCCCAGACTGATAGCTGGGATACCAGCATGGGACTGATCCAAACCACAGGAACGTGGGTTTCAGTGAGGAGACCTCAGAAATCTACAGGACCTCCTGTAGTAGTTCAGTACTTATCCCTAGCATAGGTGTGGATGTTGTGAGCCCATTCCACATAGAGGGATACTCCCTGAGCCAAGACACACGGGCATGTGCCTAGGCCCTATCCCAAAGGATATGATAGACTCTGATGACACCCTATGGAAGGCCTCACCATCCAGGGGGAGCAGAAAGGTTATGTGATAGGGTTTTAGTTGGGGGGGGATGGTAGAGGAGCATGGGAGGGAGAAGAGAACTGGGATTGTCATGTAAAACTATCTTGTTTCTAATTCAAATAAAAAAATAATCTGAAAAAAAAAGAGACAACACCTTTGTCAAAACTCAGGTTGGTTATACCAGTGGAATTACTTCTAGATTCTGTATTCTATTGTTCTGTTCATCCATATGGTTTTCCTTTTGCTAATGTCATGTTGCTTTTGTTTCTATGGCTCTATAGTAAAATTTGAAGCCAGACTTCATGATGTCTCCTTCCAGCATGGTCCTTTGTGTTCAGGCTAGCCGTGGCTATTTGTGGTCTTTTGCACCTTCATGTGAATATTAAGACTGTTTTCTTCTAGTTATGGAAAGAATGTCATTGGAATTTTGGTGAAGGATACATTGAATCTGAAGGTCACTTTTGGTAATGTAGGCATTTTACTAAGTTGTAGTATAGAGAGTTTTATATTTAAGTGGGATCTAGTAAAAGGTAGTTATATCTCGAGTGCACTGCCATTGGGAAGAGATTCTCACAGGAGTATGTCCTCATACTCATAGGAAGTACCACAGAATGCGTGCTATGCAGTGAGGCTACCCCACATGCTTGGTCCCTTCTGAATATGGCCATTTTCCTTTCTGCTTCTCTGCCATGTTGTGATGCAGTAGGAGGGATGCTCAGATGATGGACAGATGGTGCCATCTAACCCCAGACATCTTTCCTCCAAACCTGTACGGGAAAGAACTTCTTCTCTTATAAGGTACTTGGTTTCAGATACCCTGTTATAGAACAGAAAATGGAAAGATACCACAGGAGACAAGAAGTTGTTTATGGAAGATTAATTGTGCAAAAAAAGCAAGGAAATGAAACCTAGATAAGATTATTGACCTAGATTTTATGTGCATGTTTATGTGTCTGTGTATATATGTGCATATAAAACAGCATTCATTTATTTGTTTTTAATTATAATTAATTAGGAGTTTGAGACAGTCTTGTGTAACACAGGCTGTCCCCCTGCTCTCTCTGTAGCTGAGGATGATCTTGGTTTTCCTATTTTTCTCTTCTACCTTCTGAACACTGGGATTACAGGCATGCACCACCATGTCCTGTTTCAAAACACTCTTTTTAGATGCAACCTAGTGGTGCTGGCTGTAACCCAGCTGTTCTGAAGACAGAGGTAGGAACATTGAAAGTTCAAGGCTAGCCTTGGTATGTTATGGGGATTGTGTCAAAATGAAAAGAGAAAAGAAGGCTGGGGCTGCATGCCAGTAGTAGAGTGATTGCTTAGCACATGAAATGTCTTGTGATCAATTGAAGGAAACAAGGAAAAACCAAAAGAAAACAACAAAGCAAAAACAAAACAAACACCTCCCACACCCCTCTATCAGAGAAGCTGAAGATGGCCTTGCCTTTTTGTATCCATGGAACATCTCTAAGAGCTGACCAAATGCATTGCAAAGAGTAGAAGTAATTCTAACAAATACATTTCTTACTGCAGCAGAAATTAGATTCATAAAACAAAATTTAAAATAGCACATGAAAAAAATTTAAAACCTCTTTAAAAGAAATGTTAAGCTGAAGAGGGCATTGGAACTGCCACCTGGAAAATTACAGTGGCCATGAAAACAAAATATCAGACATTATTAAGGATACAGGCCTTCTTATCGGAGGAAGAATTATGGTAATGAGTAAAGTATAAAACTGGCTGATTTAAATTATTTCATTTACAAAGTTAAAAAGGTAAAGGTAAAACCAAACCAAGAAAGCAGAACTCAGCTAACCTGAATAAGAACAATCAAAAGAAAGAAATCGTAGTATAATAAGTAGCTACATATTCAGAAATAAAGGATTTACAAGGCATTTTGTGTTCACATTTGTAGAAATACATTGTAAAAACTGGATGTGATGCTAAATTTGTTAGAAAGGTATGCTGTCTTCCCAATTACCATACAAAAATTCGTGGAAGAGAAATCGATGATGTACATCTTCTCAAGATGCAGTAGGCCCAAAGGATTGGCATGGAATTACCAGACCTATAAGGGCAGAGAACAATAATACAGAGTGACCCCTTTTGACAATACAGAAACAACTAAGCTTATAGAACAGTCAATATATATAGCACAAATATGTATCACAAATACAGCACTGATTTCAAAATCTAACAAAATTGAACAAAACCCTCTGGCTCTCTTTCACTTTTGAATGCAGATGGCTTAACCCAATGAAACAGCAAACATAATCCAGTAGCAAGTTGAAAAAGTAATGCTGAATGATAGAGTTTATCCTAGAAATGTGAAATTATTTAAGATTACAAAATTGTGTTATGAATCTAGGAGGCTTTCAATAACATTTGATTTTCATTCTAGAGTTTTGAAGTCTTGCAGTAAATAGATATTAGGCAAGTATCTACACACAAAGTCAGTATAATTCTTAACAGGAAATGGAAACATTTCCATTTAAATCAACAGGGAGCCAACTTCCTCTGTCATGCTCTTATTAGCAAATTCTGAGTCTAGCCAGTGTAATTGGATTAAGACAACAGGAAAGGAAATATGCAAGATTTATGTGAAAAAATGTAAATGTCAGTAAAAGATTTGGAGACCAGCAACAGAACACTTTTCCAAATAAAAGGCATTCTGTAATTAACTTTGGATTGGGGCAATCAAAATCAGTAATGTTGGTTTCCTGTAGTCAATATGTTTTTATATTACCTCAATAAAAATATGAAAAGAATACACCCACTGTGGAACCATTCAAGCTGGTTTCAAAATTTAAATAAATGTTGATCAAGTATATTACCAAGAAACAGAAAGAGCTAGGAAATTTTTTTGACAGAGAAAACAGCCTGTCAGGTTATTAACACTTGAGATAAAGCTGTAATACTTAAAACAACCTGGTACCCTTACATGATTGCCCAAGAAGATCAGTAGAACAAATAGAAAGTCTGGAAATAGATCCAAATAAACATGGGAATGGATCTAGGAATATGTGTGATTCAGATAATCACAAAAGAAAAGTATGGTGAGGGCTGGAGAGGTGGCTCCACAGATTAGAGCACTGGCTGCTCTTCCAGAGGACCCGAGTTTAATTCCCAGCACCCACACAGCTGGCTCACAACTGTCTGCAGCTCCAGTTCCAAGGGACCAGATACACTCTTCTAATACAACATTCATACATATAAAATGTAAAAGTAAAAAGAAAAGTGTGATGAATTAGAAAATGAGTTCAAACTGTTATAATCAGAATCAAAATACAAATGATAAAACAGGCTGGGGAGATGGGTCAATGGGTCATATACTTGCTGTGTAAGCATGAGGATTGGAGTTCAGAGCCCCAACACCCATGTAAAGACAACTACTGTAATCTCAGTGCACAGGAGACAGAGATAAGCAATCCCTGGAGCAAGCTAGTTACCTAGATGAGCTGAGCAAGCCCTGGGTTCAAGGAGAGACCCTACCTCAATGTATAAAGTGGAGAGTGACTAAAAGATATCAGCATCTATCTCCAGCCTCCACATGCATGAGCACACATGTACACTTGTACACATATGAGCAGCCACGCACATGCACATCACACACACACACACACACACACACACACACACACACACACACACGACAAAGAAGTATTTGTAATTCATTACTGAAGGAAAAATAATTTGCTTATGTAGAAAAAGCTGCACATGTGTTTTAGAATGTAATAGAAAAATCAGTCAAAAGTTTTAAACATGGTTTACAGAAATGAAAGTAAAAATTATCTTGGCAACTATGGGCAGATCCTTGCTTACAATTAGAGAAACATAAATTTAAGTAAATAAGACCTTATTTTCCATCCATTATATTGCCAAAGACAAAAAGGAAAGAATTGCTTGTGGTAGCATCCATCTGTAGAGTCCACATGACAGAAAATTTGTTGTATTCATCAAAATTACAGTTTATCTTTTGGAAAAATCATCTCTGGGCAGACACAGAGTTGCATGAGTTCACATACTTACATGGCTATTCATGGTGGGGCAAGGAACATGAATGTGAATTAACACAGATAGAGCAGATGACATGTGTATGTTATGAGAAGCTATTCTTCATAGACAATACTGAATGATGAAAAAGCCAAGATATATGTAGGAAGTCTGCAGCAAGCTGACATTTTTAAAAGGGAAACGCAGTCCACATGAGAATATAGTTACATGTTTATATATGCATAATGTGATGTAGATGAATAGACAGTGTTTGACATAGGAATGGGTAGGAAATGGGTGCTAGAGACAGGGATATTTTTTGGTTTACACATTTTGTGAAATCATTTTTATTGATTACATACAGTTCACTGATAAATTTTTCCTCTTATTTTTCACCAGAGTAAAAATGCATATAATCTACTTACCACCAAAACCTTTCCCTGGCTCCTTTGCAGGGTACTTTTCTCTTCCCAGAGTTCAGGCAAACACTGATGCATTTTTCTTATTAAAGGATGGGTAGAATTTTGATTGAAATCACAAGCGAACCTACAAATTAATCTGGGCAGAAGTGATATTTTGACAATGTTACATCTTCCAAATTTGGAGCATGATAGATATTTCTATTTATAAGTCTACATTGATTTACTTAGTGATACTTTAATTTTCAGTGAAATTTTGTTATTTTGGCCTCTAAGTATTTCAGGCTGTTTCATTGCTTTTATAGAGAGGCTTTATAAAATAACTTTTATAATTATTTTTTGTTAGCAAGTAGAAATATAATTTATTATTGTTTTGCAAACTGTTATCTCATAAGTAAGGTGACTTACAATGCCTCTCATGGTCTCTCTATGGGTTGAGATCTAAGAGTAACTACCAAGGTGGTTCTTCTGTTAGGTTTCCATCAAGAACGCAAGTGGGGCTCCAGTCACCTGATGGTTCTCAGGATGCAGGAGAGTCTTCTTCCATAATGGCACATTCGTATTGGCCTGCCAGTTGTTACTCTCTGTATGATGTGTAGCTGGGTTTCCACAGAGCAAGCACAAGTGTTTCCTTTGACTTGCATTCAAAAGTCATATGATATTATCTCTACTCTAATAAGGAATCAAACAGGCCAGCATTATTTAATGGGGGTGGTAAACACACAATAGCATGAAAGTTTCAGGTGAAGCTCATTGGGGTCACCTTGGAGAATGACCACTGTATTCGTGTGCTACAGTTATAGTTTATTCAGCTTGGATTTTCATTTTTTCTAAAAAGGAAGTCTTTTAAGTGCACTCTGGGATACCCTCAGTTTTCTTGAAATGGCTCCTGTACCTCCATCTCTTCCTTTCTTAGGTTTGATCTGGGGTGCCAGTTATCTGTATGTTAAATGCTTGTCTGACATGTTATAGCGGTTCTGTTCTTTTTGTATAAATCTGTCTCACCTGTGTTTAGGATAGCATATTATGTCTTCTAGTTTACTGATCTTTCATTCTATAATGTCTAATCTGTTAAGTCCATTAAATAATCTTTTGACTTCAGATATGTAATTTTGGTTTTCTGGATATTTCTGTGCCTTTAGACTATAGATAGATAGATATAGATATAGATATAGATATAGATATAGATATAGATATAGATATAGATATAGATATAGATATAGATATAGATATAGATATAGATATAGATATAGATATAGATATAGATATAGATATAGATATAGATATATAGTTTTTTGAGACAGGGTTTCTCTGTATTGCTTTGGAGGTTGTCCTGGAACTTGCTCTGTAGACCAGACTGTCCTTGAACTCACAGAGATCCACCTGCCTCTGCCTCCTGACTGCTGGGATTAAATGCATGCACCGCCAATGCCTGGCTTTTTAGACTATATTTTAACTTCACTGTGCCCTGCTTTCTTATAGATTATTGAGCTTAGACATTAGTCTTTGAAGTTCTGCTAATTGCACATCTGAGTCACTTCTGCACCTCTGTGGACTATTTCTATTTTGATTGACTGGATTTTCTCTTGATTAGGTAATACCCCTTGGCATATGCGGGATTTTTTAGTTAGCTATTAGATACTGGGTATGTTGGATGTTGGATGTTTGGATCTTGGTGTTTTCCCTTGCCATGCTGATGTTTCTTTGGACAGGCAGGTATGCACTTTACTTACCCCCACCAGTTTGATCTTTGTTGGCACAGCTGGACAGCAGGCTTATCATAGGACTATTTGACTTATACCACAAATGCTGGGCTTTTCTGGCATCTCTGTTGTGTGCCTATTGAAAAGAGGTCCTCTTCTCAGTGACCACATGAGTTAGTCTTGGTGTTTGAGTTCTGTGGGACTAAGGAGAGAGAGGCCCTAAACCTGCTCCTTGCTGGATTTGTGGAGTTTACCTAAACGTCTGTAATTTAGGTTTCATCTGGAGACTCCTATGTAGACTGCCAAATTCTTCCACTGGGTAGCTCCTCCCTCTCTGGAACACTGCCCTGCAATTTGCTGCTGCCTCAGCCTTTCTGAGCTCCCATGTCTCCTCAATTTGGGGAGACTGCCAAGCTCTGCATGGGTGCCCCTTCCTGCCACAAGGTTAGGAAATCGCTTCCAGAGATCATAGACCTTCTACTGCTCATTGTCCAGTTCTGGAAAACACACATTTTATACACTTTGCCCAGTTTTGGGTGAGTTGCAGGAGTAAGGGTGCAAATGTCAGTTACTGCTCCTTTATGGGAGGAAGCAGAGGTTGCTTTGCTTATGGTTTTAAAATGAAGTCAATGAGAACCATTAAAAGGAAAAGAAAACAACTTGAAGTAAAAATAGCAGTGGCACTGAGTTTACTGGGAGTATATGGAAGTAGGGCATATTTAAAAACTACTGGTTGAGGTTTAAAATTAGAACAATCTTTCAGAAGGTTGCTTTGTCAAAAAAAATGTTAAATGCTTAAACACTTTCAGTTTTAACTATTCTTCTAAAAACTCAGACATTTATATAGAGGAAATAATCAGACATATATAAAATGTTCATTGAAGAGTTAGTTATAATATGAAAACATTAGCCTGAAATAAAAGCTTAACCTAAATATCCAACAATGTAGAATTAATGAAATAAATTTGTTTATATATCCACATAATGGTTTGTTACATAACTACAAAAATGGCATTGTGTAAATATAATTTAATGGCATGGGAATATGTTTTAACCACCCTATTACATTGAAAAAGTGAGATTATTAAAAAGTTCTTCTTAATCAGTTAATGTAGAAAATATGATGGAAGTTTGATGTAGAGAATGTTTTTTAAAAAGTCTCTTTTTTGTGTATTCCTGACTTTTCCAAATTTCCTACAGTAGGCACAAATTTTTTTTAATTTAAAATATTTATGTGAAAGCTCACCAGTAGATTTACCCACAGATCCATGATCATTAGAAATGAGATAATTGGTGCTAAGAGAGCCAATGAAGTGTAGCAAATGAATGTTTAGGGTGATGAATTTGGATTTCAGTTCTGTTTTTCGTTTTTCTAGGGGGATTACCTTCATACGTTTTTGTTTTTTGTTTTTTAACTCTCTGGAACTTCTACAAGACAGCTATGGAAAGCTGCTACATATGGTTACTATAAGAATTAAATTCACACAAGCCCATATCATGGTAAAATTATATGCATATGAGTTAATGCTTGTATTACTGCTGCTGTTATGAAAGGAAAAAGAATAGGAGTGAAAAGTTAGCTGGTTTCATGGTAAGGCACTTTTTTCAAAAACAAAGAAACTACAGAACAATTAGATAAATTAGGAAATGAAGCACTACTTTCTAGAGTATTAAGAAATACACTTATCTTCCATGGGGGTCTTCAAAGCCTGTCATATCATTTGGAGCAGGGTCTAGACCCTCCCCTGTGTGTCTAGACTGACAGAGTATCCCTCTATGTGGAATGGGCTCGCAAAGTCCATTCATGTACTAGGGATAAATACTGATCCACTGTCAGAGGCCCCATAGATTAGCCAGACCTCCAAACTTACATCCTCATTCAGGGGTCTCAGAAGAAAGGGGATGGGATAGGGGGTTGGTGGGAGGCAGAAGAGAGGAGGGGAGGGAGAGGGAACTGGGATTGACATGTAAAACAAGCTTGTTTCTAATTTAAATAAAAAGAGAAAAATAAAAAAATAAGAAATACACTAACCTTGTAAGACACTTGAGAGAGACAAAGATCACACCCCTTCAGGTGTCTTGACTAGGGGACAACATTGTGAATGAAAGGATGTAGTAGACATGGAGGTAAAAACTAGCAAGATGCTAGACAACTGCTATGAATTGGACATTTGTGTTCCTCCCAAGTTCATATGCTGAATTTCTCATCCTAATTAATGTTAGGAGCTGATGGCACTAATGAGCTAATGGGGGTGGCTTCCTTGTGAGCAGGATTCCTGTTCTTGTAAAGGATGTTCCATGCCCCTTTTCCTCTCTCATGTGAGAAATTTTTCTGAAAGCAAAGTCCTGGCTCTCCAGGGCACAGACCCTCTGTATCTGCTAGCGGGTTGATACAGTGAAGTGCTTGATGATTATGAACATTTCAGATTATGCCATTTGGTTATAGTAATCTTACTGGACTAATAACCTTATGGTAATATTTTTCTACCTCCTAAATATTTCAATAACTTAAGGAAGTTTTAATGAAATGGATCCAATAGGTATCTTGAAAGTATACAAAAACCCAAGCAGTAGTCTATTTTTCACTGCTATCCCTACAGGTCAAGCCACCACCAGGTTTGCCTTCTTTGCTTCTAAATTTGTCCTTAAACTGTTACACTGTATACTCTCCCATGATTGATACTTATGAACTACAAATCAAGGAAGCCATTTGTGGAAAGGTCATTCCAGGCCAAAGAGCCGTGCGTGTCAGCAAATGGATTCAGAGAACTTCAGGGAACAATTTTGGAATCAGGGAAAACTGAGTTTGATATTGCTGAAACTTAGTGGGGACAGAGGAAGAGAAAGAAGAGGTAGAAGGGAGGGAAACACCTTGAAATTTCACACATGGCCATTGGATAGATATGTACCTTTTAGGTGATTAAATGGACTAATATAAGCAGATGGATGGTTATTTCTTGTAAATATTTTAAGAAGACAATTCTAAGATGATGGAAGAGAGGAGAGAGAGAGAGAGAGAGAGAGAGAGAGAGAGAGAGAGAGAGGAGATGGAGGAGAGGAGGGGAGGGGAGGGGAGAAGAAGAGAGAGAGAGAGAAATGAGGCCAGACTTAGCAGGTTCAGGAGCTTAATGTCCAAGGCTCTACATGCACCCTTGTACTCACACCAGGTTCAACAAATGATACCTGAATATATGCTCTCCAGTATTTAACTTTCTAGCAGCAAATAAATTTTGTATAAATAAAGACCTTGGGGTACGGGGCACCTCAGTACAAGAACATTTTATGCTTTGAAGTTTAGATACACACGTGTTTTGGGTACAGTGGTTCTCCCGGGACCTATCTCATCCTTTTGTGGTTCATTGAGAGGTCTTTTGTAGCACCCCACAGGGTAGGAGATCCTGTATAGGAATCAGTAGGTTGGGAAACATATTATTCTGTAGACATAGAGGGCAAAGGATGGATATGAAATTATGTAAGAAATGAAATTGAAACGGCTTGGAGTAATTGATGTGGGATTTGAAGACAAGAAGTGAAAGCTAACACCCAGGCTCTTGGTTTAATTATCCTTGCCCTAGAGGAACATAGCAGAAAAACTATATTTGGGGAGGCAGAAATGGGTGGGTTCTGCCTCAGACATAAATTACAATTTACTTATTTTTTTAATATCCAACTGAAGATGTCTAGTTGAAAACATCTGTTACTGTGGGGTTATGAAATAAGGATCCAGAGGGAAAGTTCACACTAAAGGGTGTTCCTGGTGATAACAGTGGAGTCAGGGGTTTGATAAGCCAAAAAGATTGTCATAACCTGTAATCTGGTAATGTATTTTTGCTTTGCTTTAAATTTTTTCTTGAAACAGAGTCTCACTGTGTAGCCCAGGCTAGGCTTAAATATGTGGACCTCCTGCCTCAGTCTCTGGAGTGCTAAGATTACTGGCATGTGTTACTTTGTCCTGCTTAGCCAGTGACTTTGAACCTTATGTGGGAATGCTTTTAGCTCTAGAATATGGACTGAAAGGCATGATCTTCTGATTCTTAAATTCTAAACTTTTGTCCTACATAACCTAAACAATCACCAAAGTGAACTCCCTTGCCTAAGGGGAAGTATAGCTTAAAAGTGAGAGGGGTCCAACCTAGGGAGGGAACAAATGATATGGGGGTAGGAGGGATGAGTATAGGTGGGCTTGGTTCCCAGAAGGTGGGGCTCCCTGAGTGCCAGGGCTTGGAGAGGCAATGGAATGTTGATAGCAAGAGTCACAAGTTGTTTTTGGCAGCCTTATGTGTCAGAAGGTCCCATAACAAAACTGAGTAAGGAGACAAGGAATTATCTAGAAGGCAATCCTCTTTGGTACAAGATAGGGTGTTTAGCAGGCTTCGGCAGCTGAGTGTGTGGAGAGCAGGCAGGTGTGGTTCAGGCGAGGACTGGAAGAATCTAACACATAGGTCAAATATTATTCAGCTTGAGGGGAAGTGCTCTTTGGAGAAGTACTTACTGTCAGCAAGTTGTCCCTGCAGAAGGCGAAGTGGCTTGAGTGGCAGAATTCTAGGGCCCAGTGGAACACACACTGCCAGCCAGCATGAATGGTATGTGACAAACAGGCATGTTGGGATTGTGGTATGCTATGAAGCCACACTGTGTCCTTGTTAGTTTGTGGAATGCCACGGGCTGTGAACAGGTGGACAAGAGACATGCTTGCCTGCATCCCTTGCCAGAAGCTTTCTACATACCATATTCCTTGGGACATTTTTTTGAATATGTAAAAACTTTTTGTCTTTTTTTTCATCATAGGACATATAAATTGTAGGGGGATGTTGGTTATAGACTAGGCGCTCTCTATAACCAACTCATATGAAGAACTTTAAGTTTATTATCAGACCGCACAGCTGCTGTTGAGACATAATCTCCCACCTCCTTACTGGCATGGAGATATGTTGGTATGAACTAATAGGGTGAGAGCCCAAGGTCTGTGTCCCTTAAGATTTATACACCTTGGTCTAGACAATCCCACTTATGCAAGAAGATGCATGAATCTGTGGAGAAGAGAGCAGAAATGCCCTCATAAGAGTGGTGAGGGACCTTAAAACTATGTGCCTGGAAAGTATGCTTCTGCCTGGCGTGGTGGCACAGACTTAAATTCTAGCACTTGGGATGCAGAGACAAGTGGATTTATGTGAGTTTAGGGCCATCCAGAACTACATAGTGAGATTCTGTTGCAAATCAATCAATCAATCAATCAATCAATCAATCACATTAAGGGCTAGCAATATGGCTTAGCAGATAAATCTATGTCCACCCAGACTGATGGTCTGGAACCCACAAAAGGGAGAGAACCAACTCCCCAAATAAACAAAAAGATGATGAATAAATGTAATAATTTTAAAAGTCTCCAGGTCTTAGATGGTAGAAAATCTAAAATCCCTGAGACCTATATGGTAGAAGAAGAGAACCAAATCCACAAAGCATACAAATAAATGAATAAATAAATGCAATGTTTTAAAAATCACACCAGATACTAAACAACTGGTAGCTAGAATGATATCATGTTGTTCTAGAACTAGCTTAAGTAGTTATGTTCAGATACCAAGACTGAATCCACTTTCTGGAGAACAGCAAGATTCCTCTTCGCATGTTCTCATCCTGGTCCTATCCATTTTGCCCCTGCATTCTCTGTTCTGCCCATAGAATTCTGGTGAATCCCTAGCAACATAGGAATGGAGACAGAGTTGTATCTGGGGTGGGGGGGGCTGTAAAGAGCAAGGGGCCAATGCTGGCATGCAGCTTGGTGGCTGCTGGCTTGGCTCTTCCTGCAAGGCACTGAGTCATGAGTGGTGGTGGCAGAGCACTGCACTCCTGGACTTGCTGTGCATGGCATCTGGGGGGATTAGCAGATATGATCAGAACAAGATACAAAGGAATTGGAGCTGATACCGATAAGCTACTTGGAAGGTCCCCAGAGGAGGGAAAACATGAAAGCAGACTGCAGACTCAAAGTGTAGGTGGGTGGGGAGTGTCTAGGGGAGGCAGAAACACAGGTCTTGCAACTCAAGGAGGGCAAGGGTTTCTTCTGTTGTTGTTGCTTTTGGGTACTAGGAGGAAATGGCTGAAAGGAATTGGATTTTGGTATTTTGTCAAATAAAAGCATTTTCTATCTGAGACAAGGGAACACTCAAACATTGCTGATGGAAATGTAAAATTATACCAATCTGGAAAGAGCCTGGTAGTTCCTCACAAAACTGTGCATTCGGCTACCATGTAAACCAGAAAACTGAACCCATTGATGATAATCCTAAAGAAATGAAAACTTAGAGTCATATAGAAGCATGTACAGTAGTATTTATAGCAGCTTTATTAGTGATAGTCCCAAGCTCTTCTGAACTATCCAAATATCTTTCAATAGGTGAGCAGTTAAACACACTATAGTATATCCACATCCTGGAATACTATTTATCAGTATAAGTATATAGGTGACATGCCTAACAATATAGATAAGTTGCCAGAGATTTATTCTGGGAGCAAAAAAGCTAGTCTTAAAAGATTTTGTACCCCAAGATTGACACTCCATGACCATACACATTTTTTAAAATATTTTATTATTTTATGTGTATGCATGAGTGTCATCTACCATGTGTGTGCAGGTACCCATGGAGGTCAGAAGACAGTGTCATATCCCCTGGAGATGGAGTTACAGGTAGTTGTGAGCTGCTTAATATTGGTGCTGAGAACCAAACCCAGGTCCTCTGGAAGAGCAACAGGTGTCCCTAACTGCTGAACCAGCATGCCAGCCCCAACACTTATAGACATTTTTGTTAGAGACAGGGGCTCACTATGTAGTCTTGGCTGGCCTGGTGCTCACTATGTAGACTACTTGCCTCTGTCTTTTACTTGTGGCAAAGCTTCCAGAGGCTGGGGTGAGGGGTAAGAGTGATTTGTAGACTTATTTGGCAGAGAAGATTTTCTCAGAGTCCCTCCAGTCACATCCCCTCTGGCCAGAACACAGGCATTCTAGGGGTTGGAAGGCCAGAGCCAAACAGCAGAGTAGAGCAGAGCAGAACCCAGTGTCCCTTTAGCCTGAACAGAGGAGAAAGGTGAAGAGTATAACACTAACTTTGGTCTTATTTACCAACAGCCCTGGGGAGCTAATGTTGGCCTTGGCTCTCTTAGATTGGGACTTCTAGATACTATTTACTGGCAATGTGTATATAATGAAAGACAAGGCTAGACCCACTTTAAGCAAGGGAATGGCCATCATTCAGCATCCCAATTTGTTTTCCCAAGCTCGTATTTTCCAGAAATTATTCTTTCTTCATAACAATGATCACATATTCATTATCCTGTCCAGCCTCTCATATTTGGGAACCAATAGAGATATTTTTGCTCTCTGAAAGCAGGAGTTAGTACTCACAACACCCCCAGTGAAGCGGTGGTGCACTGGCCTGAGTGAAGCTGCAGTCAACAGGCAGGCTGGGGTCAGCATGTGGAATGGATCCAGAGTACCAGAATTTGGGGAACTTTGCCTTATCTGTACCACTGGAAGAGAGAGTTCTCATATTTCTTACTGACTCAGGATGGATTTGATATGGTTGCTTGGCCCCAAAGCCCATCTGTCCAACTGCAGAAGATCCAGGGATACACAGCCATCTATCAAATCTGACAGCACTGCCTCCTACAGCAGCTGCATTGTTTACCAAATGAGTCACTTTCAGAACGAGTCCAAGAGCAAACTGGGCTTGACAGTTGCATCCCAGTTCATTCTGCTCCTTCTCTTCCTTTACGGGCTTGCCGAGTTTCTGAACAGCAGCTACACTTTGCTGAAGTAAGTTAAAAAATCGCCACAAATTCGAGTTCTTATCCTTGGACAAAAATCATTGCCATTTTATTTCAAAGATTAAGAGTGCTCACCAATATGTGAATGTCCTTTTTGAGTGGAAAGTGGTGAGGAGGAAATCAGTGGCTGAGAGCAGTGACTGCCACAGTTGCACCCTGGAAAAAAGGCTCTATTCATCAATTATGAAAGTAGTCACCAAGGACGAGATTTTGTTGATTATATGACTGTATGGAGGAGTAAAAAGCGAAGATTAATTTAGGAAGCTGACCAGGTTTGGGGTAAGAAAGTCCCTTGTTCCACTTCAGCCTTATAAGCAGAGGCCTATAGAGAGAATTAGAGAGAGACCAAAAGATTCTATTCTTAGTTGCTTTTAGATGATACCAAGTGCTTTCAGTGTATGGATATCCTTAGTGCTCCAGGAGTAGTGGATATGTGTTATCAGAACTTCACTCAGAGCAACCTCAGAGAACTTAGCTTGTGGGGCTCCTCTCTGTGAGAAAACATCTGAGGGCACAATTCAAGGGAGGGTGGGAGGACTTAAGTCATGGTTGTAGGGATTTCAGTCCATGGTCTGCTGGTTCTTTTGCTTCTTGGCCATGGTGAGGCTGGACATCATGATTGAAAGGCATGGAAGAGCAAAGTTTCTCACCTCATGATGAGCACCCAGTCAGGCCTGGGTGGAACAAGATACATATATTTCTCTCCAAAGAAATACATGCTAATGACATATTTCTTTTAACCAGTCCCCATATCCGAATGGAATATTCAGTATGGATTGATCTACTGGTGATGCAATCATCTCAAGTCATGTGACAGTTTCCTCTGAATTGAAAGGTTTGCTCTGGGAAGGGGCGGGAGAGACTCATGACACCCAGGAGGTAAACCAGCTTAGAAAAGTGGCAAAGCAAAAACTTGGCAGATTCAAAATGGTCCCCTCCTTAGCTGAACTGGAGCAGTGAACGTCTATTGGAGGAGAGGTCTCTTGGGCCTGTCCACCTGCCTGAAACTAGTGCAGGAAGCTCCAGGGAGGCAGATTGGTGAGTCACTCAGGCTGGGGTGCTCTTCGGTGATGGACTGTTTTGAGGTCCAACCCCTGCTCCTGTAATTAATTCCTTGTCCACACTCAGTGGTTCACCGAGTTAGATTTTAGTGCAGCTGTTAATGATGTGTCATGGGCTCTCTATATAGGGAGCATAGATGATGTGTGTATGTCAAATCTCCCCGGGAAAAGGAAAAGCCTCTCACACAACATGTAAGAGTGCCACAAAGTGCCTACCAAGTTTTCAACACATGACCCTTATGTGTGTGTGTGTGTGTGTGTGTGTGTGTGTGTGTGTGTGTGTGTGTGATACTTTACATTGAAACCATAATGTGGATATTGTAGACTAAGAAGCCCATTGAAGGAGAAAATATACTATTCAAGAGATTATTTCTTGAATGCCTATTGCTTGCCAATCACCAAACTAGATTTCTGAGTTACAGTTGTGAATAGACCACTGACTTAGTGGAAGTCAGTCTGACTGGAGACAACTCAAACAAGTCTATAAAATATGGTAAGTGCTGATGGAAGTAGTATTTGACCCTGTGAAGTGTGTCTCATGCAGGTATTACAAAGCTATTCCTGTGGAAACAAAGCCTGTCACTCAAAGATCTGGGTTTGTTAATTCCTCGTGCAGGAGACAAGTGATAGAAGATGACACCAGAGAATGTATAAGGGACCAGGGAGAAGCACACGAGACAAGAAAAAGGTAAAAAAGCAAATGCCTTAGTATTTGGCTGCATACAGATTCAAGGTTTTAGAATTTAAAAAAGTGAAACAAAATTAGAAATTTGGAGGGAAAAGAACAAAGGCATAAGTTCAACACCATGGGGGATCTCCAAAGTCTGTCCTATCATCCCAGGTAGGGCCTAGGCCCTCCCCCGTGTGTCCAGACTGAGAGAGCATCCCTCTATGTGGGATGGGCTCCCAAAGTTGACATGTGAAGCAAGCTCCTTACTAATTTTAAAAAAATGGTCATAGCATAAAACATACTAGTAACATTATAGATTGAGCAGGTTATATTTAAGAATACATATAGGGAGGGAAATGATGTAATCATATAATCTCAAGCATAAAAGAAATAATTTTAAAAGTCACCTTCTTTCACATGTAAAGAGGACTGATAAGCAAGAAAATATGGCTGCTTTATGAATGTACAGGGGATATTGATTCAGTATGACTATTATGGTTTGAATAGGGCATGTTTTCTAACAGGATTATGTATTTAAATACTTGATTCTTAGCTGGTGACACTGTCTTGAATCTTGGGGACTTGGAGCCCCACTGTCAAGCTAGAGTTCCTAGAAAGTATACACCTTGAAAATTATGCCTGTCTCTGGTTCCCTTCAGATTTCTGCTTCTTTATCTGACCACCATTTGAGGAACTGTGCCAAAAGAACCCTCTGAAGCTGTGAGCCCAAATAACACTCTCCCTTAACTTGCATCTGTCTGGTGTTTTTGCTGAAACAGGAGGAGCAGCTAATGCAATCGATGTAAAACAAACGTGAACCAAGGTGGTAAGCAGCAGGAAAAATGCTCAGAGAACTTCCAGTTTTAGCCTTGCTGGAGGGAATGGGGACTTGAGGAAGAAATTACTCCATCAGCAAGCAGAGTGACCTCACTGGAATGCCAATTTCACAGTTATTCTGGGAATAATAGTGCAAGTTGAGAGCAAGAAATTAAAAGTCCAATAACTTGCTAGGAAAACTGGTTCACTTGGATTCTTGTCATGGTCCCAGGAGTGATGGGTGGGGACAAGGGTACAGCTCATGACTATGCTCAGGGGCTGTTCTGTAAATAGTATTAAATTTAATGATTTTTATTCTAACAGAATGATGTGGGGGGATTTCTTCAGCAATCTGACTCTTCCAATTTCAATCAAATTAAATGACTAGTGTATGCTACCCCACCTGGCTTTCCAAGCCCCACAGAAGTTGGCATTTGTGATGGTGGTTGGCATTTTAGCCTTTCAAGTGGCCAGCTAGTTGTAATGATTTCAGCTCTACCCTCTGAATTGAATATTATCCCCCCAAATTCAAACATTGAAATCCTAATTACTTTACAATTTGACCCTGGAAATAGGATGCCTGAGGAGCAAATGAAGTCCTTGGGATGGGCTCTAATCCAACATGATTGGTGTCCTTATGAAAAGGGGAAAAATTAGAACCATATAGGGGGATACCATGTGAACAGGAGGACAGCCATTTACAAGTCAAGGAGAGAGGTCTAACTTTGGCTTCTGTAACCAGAACTGAGACCATTAGATTCTGTCCTCTTTATGTCATTGTGTCAGTGGTTGTTCAAAGCCACTCAGTTTGTAGTGGTCTTAGCAGATGAGTCTAGTCCTCATGTCTAGTCGTTTTCTAGTCTTTTTCTTCCATATCTCTCTGCTTGATGGTTTTGGATACAGAAAGCAATGGGGTGAGGATGAGGAAGGAGGATGGATCCTTATATGTTGCCATCAAGCCATGAACAAGAGATACAATGGAGATTAGGCATGATCCCTTCTTTCATGGTTCCTATATCAGGCAGGAATTACAAACCTGACCAATTGGAAGAGAGGGCATGTTCTGTGGCAAGGGTGTTTATATACTGTTCTTTGGGGGTCTCTGAGAGGAACCCTGGTTTTTGGGTTCCAGAAACATTTCCCTGATTGCAAGTGACATTTGAGCTGAAAGTTGAATCTGAATTATTTGATGAAAGGAACAAGACTAATGAGAGATGGTGAGGGCAATGTTCCCAGGCAGAGGCAACAGCCAGGCCCCATGTTTCACAAGTGAAGAGGGAAGAAAGCGTGTCATCAATTTTAGAGTTAGTGATATGCCCCAAGAATCCTAAATCAAAGCACATAGTGCTATTTGATGGGAAAAAAAACTCAGCGATGCTTCCAATTTGGGAAGTGGAGTGGTTTGGAGATGACCTTGACATTGTCAGTCATTGCAGAAGCAGCATTTGGCTGACTTACATAGCCCCTACTGGTCTCCTCTACCCTCCTGACCCATTTGCCCAGTGTTCTCACAGCACACGTTCACAGCTTGACATGGGAGCTTCTAAAATTATTTTTAAGAGAGCCAGACTTTGTGAGGGGGCCAACTTACAAAGCAAACCTCACCGAGCTGATGGAAGAATTGTTGCAGCTTGTCTCCTATTGGGAAAGGCCACTCCCTCTTTTTCCAGTCCCTTCCAAGAACCTGAAAACTGAAAGGGCCTTTTATGTTTCTGATAAATGGTTTGGCAAACATTTTGTGTTTGGAATCATAGCCTACCTTACTTGCCTTCCACTAATCCCCTCTCCCCCACTGAAACATGTTGTGTCTCCTGGCAACAGGACCTGAGGAATGAATGGTGTCTCAGAAAGGTGAATGCTCTAGGGGTCACTTCTGGGTCCTTGTCCTGGCCTTGCCCTTAACTGGTCTTGTTAGTAGTTGAAAATCACCTTTCATCCTTAAGCCTCAGTTTCTGAGAGTGCAAATCAACTGTGGGAGTGGGGTGGGCTGAGTGGATGAGCAAGACAAGACTGGACCACTCCATCCCTCTATCAATATCAGGATTCCATTTTCCTTTCTATTTTTGAAGTGCTATACTTCATTCCCTCTTCGTGCTAACCGTGGCCTTATTACTGTCAGAGGTCAGGAGAAGTGGCCTTTGGCAGTCGGGGGGGGGGGGGGGGTAAACACGAATTGGCAGAAAACAAATTTCCCCTGTGCTCTCTACCTTTCATGGTCCACAATGTCAACTTCCCCCTTCTACCTATCTCCCACCCCCTTCCACCCACAAATCCATCCAAAAAGTTCTGCCTGGAGGGGAACTCAAGACTTATTTCTTTAATGGTCAGAATTGTGCTGGGTCAAGACTTTCAACTGTGTATTTAATTAGTCATCTGTACACATGCAACTTAAAGGCATTCAGCTGTGCCTTTTTATAGGATTAATAAAGCCGGTTGTAAATCACCTCTGCAGCCCATAAAAGTATTTATAGCAGCTTTTCTCTCCCTCTGCCATTACAGAAGCTCTGTTTGAACTAGCTGAGGTTTGCACAGGGATAGTTCTACCCAGTTCTAGAAGGAAAGCGTTAAAAGTCCTTTCCTGGCAAACCACAACTTCATCATTAGGCAATGTAGAATGTGCTGGAATGTTAAGCTCCAGCAAGGACATTCCAGGGTGTGATTGCCAACAGCAAGCCTTCTGTGTTAATGAAAAATCAAAACACAAAAAAGCCAGTCAACTACAAATACAAAACCTTAAGCCGAGTTTGAGAAATAGGACCAGAGTTGGAAGTCTGTGGCTTCTTGACTTCCATAAACCTTAACGGGATTTGGCAAGCTCTTCTCCAAACTCATGCATTCGCACAGGCCAAACACCTTTGCAACCACCACAGCCAAGTCCATGCTATCACCAGTCTGCAAAGAAACAAGCCACCTTTGTCTGATAGGTATTCAGAGCCTCTGTGTGTAAAATGAACATTACCATAACCCTGTCTCTTGTGGCGGCAGAAGGCTTATTTCTCATAACTCCTTTTTCTGCTTAGAAAGAAAAGATCTCAGTTCTTAAGAGACAACTAGACTCATGTCTTTCCCCATTTTGTTTTCCACTGCAAGGCCTACCTGACTTGAAACCCCCTGCTGAATGCCACAGCAGTGATTAGAAATTGACTATGGATAAATTTCACTTGTCATGTAGGGGCTAAACCCGGCAGAAGCAGCCATGAGTTTTAGGTTTGCAGATACGTGTTCTTAAATCTCACAGTTTGCCTATTTTCATTACAAGAAGATGAAGTCAGCTGAAATGGAGTGGGGGAAACAGGATGTGCTAGCGATCATACCACCCGGTGGAGGATAATCTGCACCAGGTGGTTCAGGCGTGGCAGGCACAGACAGGTTGCACTTGGCTAAGGATTGGTACTTTCTCACACAGGTGGAGGTTTCCCTCCATCCCTGGCTATCTGAGGCCAGCCACTGGGTCACTGCAGTGACTCTTAGTGTTTGTCAGCCTCAGGGACAGTGGGCTGTCACTTGGAGTCCTGGGGATCATGTGTATGTATTGAATAGAATACTGGGACAGGCATGTTAATTGAGACAAAGCACAGGGGCCCTCCTCCCTGATGCTGGCCTCAGGGCAGATGTGAAGTGGATCCAGTTCACTGACTTTTGAGACTTACAATCTTAGAGGGTGGCTTGAGTGTCTTCAGATTTTATAGGCTTTGGCTCTCCTATAGCTTTTGCTTTTCTTCCTCCTCCCCTCCCTCCTTCCTATCCCCCCTTCACCTTCCTTCCTTTTGGTTTGGAAAAGATCTTTTTGGAAAAATACCATAGATGACTTTCCCAAAATCTGACTTCAAAATATCTTTTCCAGAACCAAGTCTTTTTGAGATGGACTCACTAATTATTATTAATTATTAATTATTTATTATTATTATTATTATTATTATTATTATTATTATTATTATTATTAATTTTAAGATGGGTTATCCTCTATGAAGGAAATGTAGGAAAGAAATACAGCTTTTCCTCTGGGTATAGAGTTGAGCTGTTTTAAACTTTTCAGTTAATGAGCATTGGATGCTTCCAGAAAAGACCTTAGTGACAGAGCCATTTCCTGGCTTTTCTCTCAGAGTTAGCCAAGAATAGAAAACATTTTGAAGTTGAAACCAAAGACTTAGTTTTATGATCATCTATTATTAGGTTTCCTTTGGTAATTAATAACTTTTAACAAGTTCAATGAGCTATAATTTATATCTAATGAAAATCACCCATTTTAACAATCCAGTGCTTTGTGTAGATACACTGAGTTAAGCAATATGACAACCATCCAATTTAAAAACATTCATCATCCTGTGAGATCTAAATCCACTTACAGTTAAGCTTAAATCCTACTTCTAGCCCCAAGCAGTCACTGACTCACTTTCTGTTATACAGTGTTACCTTCTTGGAGATATTCCATGTAAATGGCTCAAATATATACTTTTTGTGGATGTGTTGCTTCCACTTCCAATCATGTCTTTGTAGTTCACTGTTTTATTGTATCCGAGTGTCTATCACCTGTACTGTAGAGCGTGCCCTATTCTTTTGTATACTATGTTCTGCTTCTCTTTTCATCTCTCCATAAACACATGGAGTGAGTGCACTTTCAGGCTAATGATGTTGCTAAATACATTTCTGTGTAAATCTCACTGTAGATACATGTTGCCACTGTCTTAGTTGAACTTTGAGACCAGAGTTGCAGGAATATATGAAAATTTTATATTTAATGTTAAAAAAATCAAACTTTTCAAAAACACCACAGCATTTTTCCCATTTTCATTAGTAGTGTGTGATGATTCCTATTTCTGTACATTGGGAACCACATTTCCTGAGACCTGCTTTTTGATGCTATCTGTTTACTTGTTGTGCTAATATCTACCAATGGTTTTGTTGGGCATTCCCTGGAGTAGTGGTCCTCAGCCCTCGTGATGCTATGACCCTTTAATACAGTTCCTCATGTTGCAGTGATCCCAGCCATAAAATTAATTTCATTGTTACTTCATAACTGTAATTTTGCTACTGTTGGGTATTGTAATATAAATATTTTTGGAGATAGGGTTTTGCCAAAGTGGTCTTGACATGAAGGTTGAGAAACACTGCCCTAGGGTATAATGTGTTGTTGTGCTTATCCCATATTCCTTGTTAAAGTGTTTTTGTGTCTTTTTTTCCCAAGAAATTATTTTTTATT